CCGTCTCCAAAGGAAGGAATCCCTTCGAGGCGGACTTCCTAATGGAAAATGGCTCGTATTCATCTTATAGATGAAGAAAACACGAAAACTCTCAAGGAATCAGCTCGTTTATCAACCTTCGAATTCGGGTCGAATTACCACTAGTCAGCTGGCTTTCTTAGTTACTCGGTTACTGGTTGTGCCAATATATTGAGGAATGAGTCGATGTTTTTTCGCATTTGCAAACGGAAGGCGGCGTAGGTTTATAAAAGCTTTGCAAATCCAAATGCTAAGACGACCTATTCAAAAGCATTCCATACTAATGCATCATTGCACAGATATTAATAGGCTAGAATATTTTTCCTTGAAATTAATTATTTTTTTTAAAAAAAGTAATTTACCAAATTTATTGACAAAAATTAGCATACTTTTTAGCACGATAATTTCGTAGCAACTCTATACTTAAGCAGCTTGTCACAATGGGATTATGTATGAAATGACATTTTGAATTCAGGCATGCAAATCTTGGATGGCTAAACTTTCTAGCTCAGATATTTACTACGTTTTAGAAGAAAAAGAATACAAATGGGTATATTCTAGAGTTACCGTAAGTGCGAAGGAATTAGAATATCACACCCATCTCTCAGAAGAAGCGCAATTAATAGTTCTCCAAACTACGTTAGGAGTTACTAACTACATTTCTAACGCCTCCTAACTACGTCACCCTGCTAGCTGGTACCTTGTAAATTCACGACAGAACAGTGACTAAGTTAAAAATAAACGAGTGATAGTTTACAAATAAAAAAATGACATCTCCTTTATCTTAAGGCGATGCCATTTTACATTCACAAAATTTGCGTTATGCACGCACCTGTGAGGTTTCCTAATATATACAATAGCAAGGAATGGGTCAGCATTACAAGTCCAACAGCAAAATCAAATATCGATTTTTAAATGTTTTCTAAATAAAGCGTTTCGGAAAGGGACACCCTATACAGGAATATCTCGCAAACTGCACAAATTATATTACAACAGAATTCATACCTGGAGGGGGGAAAAGTACTGAACCCACAGAGACTTTTCCTCAAAAAAAGGTCTGACTTGGACTGAGGAGGACTGAGATGGTTTCATCAAGTTATCATTAAGTGTACGGAGATTTTTGTATACCAGTATTTACGGAAACTCACGTCTATAGGAAACCGCGCACTTTCTTTAAAAAAAAATCTGACGTGGACACCACATGACTTTCTTGTACGGCCTATCAAGTTATACTTTTTTTTTTTTTTTTTTCCATTTCATTTAAATTTGAATTACTCCCTCCAATTTAATTAGAAATATACTTTTCATTTAATTCAGTTCTCGCTCCGCGACTAGGCAAAAATAGCACATAAAAACTCAAAACATCTTTATTAAACATTGTAAATTGCAAAAAAACATAAAACACCAAATACAGATAACAACAATTAAAAACATTTTTTTTTACAATTAAAATTACAGTTTCTACGCAAAAACAAGCAACTCGGCCAGCGGGCACGAAGACTGATTTTTCGGTGCAGAAAACTGAAAGTTTACTTTTGGTCCCATTCGATAAAAAAACGTCGAATTTGGTGCAGAAACTGACTTCATTCACATTTCTATGGGGGAATTTCAGAGTTTCAGTAGGGAAATTTTAGAGTTTGAATAGGAAAATGAGGGCAGCCTTTTATTTACACTCACTTCCAAAAGTTAAGCACGAAGATGTAAAATGCAAAAACATCAAGAAACACTGCTTTGATTGACGAAATTCGGCAGGAAAGTAGTACATATATTTATGCATACAACAAAATCAATAATTATATAGAGAAATGAAAACAATATTAAATTTTTGTAAGTTATCAGATAATGACATACTGGAGACTTAAACAAAATTATGTATAAAGTGAAAATAAACAGCATAAAATGAAAAAAAAGAATGAAAAAAAAGAACATTAACACGGCATGTGATCTCCCCCTCATCTGAAAGTTTACACCTTGTGACCATGCTTTCAATTAGGTGGTCAACCACCGCAGAATTAAGCAATCGCCATTCTTCTTGTAGAGCAGTTTCCAGCTCAATAATATTGGCTGGAGGTGGAAAACGAGAAGATACAGCACGGCCGAAAGCGTCCCAAATATCTTCAATGGCATTAAGGTCGGGCGAATATGCTGGCCACGCCATACGCGCAATCCCTTCACTCTCCAGGTAATCATCGACGATATCAAATCTATGGCGACGTGCGTTATCGTCTATTAAAACAAAAGTGGGCCAACTGCTGCAGCGTACAATCTCACAATGGGTTCTAGGACTTCATCTCGATACCGGACAGCCCTCAAAGAACCCGTTTAAAGACGTGCAGGTCGGTTCGGTATCCTAATGAAATCTCTGCCCACACCATAATGTTTCTGCCTCGGAATGCGTTATGTTCGAATATGATGTTTTGGGACTGATTGCGTGTTCGTTGTTCACGCCATATCCTTATACGCGTCATCCGACTCAAGAACAAATATTGACTCCTCAGAAAACATAATATTGCCCCAGTCAGACACATTCCAATTGACATGTTCCCGGCATCACTGCAATCGTGCCGCTCTTGATTGGACGGATAGAGGAACACAAACTAAAGGAACCCGGGCGTACAGTCCACTCATATGTAATCTTCGGCGTACAGTAGCTGCAAATATCGCCTTACCAATGGACGCTGTAGCCATGGAGGTCGCTCTTTTTGGCTACAATAGCAATATATCGATCTTCCGCGGGGGGGGGTAGTTACCCCTGGGCGACCGGCTACGGGCCTTCGGACAACTGTCTGTGTGGTTTGGAATTGTTTCCATAAACGTGAAATTACAGAATGATGAACGCCGAAGAAAAGAACAACATCTATGATCGACTGTCCTGCTTCAATGCGCTCCACAGCACGCCAGAGCTCTGAATCTTCCATTCGTCTTCTGGAAGACATAGAAACACGTATGTCTTGAAAACAAATTGTACGAAAGTTTTAAACACCTTCTATCAGCATTTACAATCAACTTCAGAAACTCTTCATAAAGCTGGCTTCTTATAAGACTGCCTTTTTTGCATATTTCTTGACATGAAAGCGCGATTGGCTGTTACCTAACATATTTGCATACTTCCATCTACCTCTGCAGCGAACTGCATCCTCTTCAATTCTGACTGGCTTTCGGAAATTAGCATTTTCCTCTCCGTGCTTAACTTTTGGAAGTGAGTGTATTTTCTAAGCATTTAGTTTTACTTCTTGAAAATAAAAAATTACTTTCACACAAGTTTTGGCATTTATCAACATTGTCTACATAACTTTTTAATTTATGAAACAAGTAAAAAATAATCTAAATAAGTATTTTCCGAGGTTCTGAAAGAAGATCTAATAATGGCGAAAGACGCATGCAGAACAGGATGAGAACCACTGAGCTAAACTCACAGGCACATGCAGATTTTAGCTTCGACTTACAATGCTTGATTAACTTCTTAACGCATATGCCCGTGTCTGACACGGGCGAAAGTTACCGGCAAATTTGCACATGCCCGTGTCTCACACGGGCGAACTTATATCTCGCGATATTTTATTTCTAATGCCCGTCAGAGATTCGTTCTAGCAAAAATAGATAAGCTATATTATAATTAAACTTATTTAAATTAGACGGCACCACTATGCAGCTTTTGTTTGTTTGTTTGTATGTATAAACGACGTGCTGCATTTTGATGATTAGCTATAAGTTTGTTAGGAATTATTTGTTATAAAGCAGTTCTTTGGTGTGGAAAAGGCAATATATCCATTTTTATTGCGTTAATTGTCATAAAAGTAAACAGTTAACCATAAATTAATTTTTACTAAAATGTTTTCGTAATTTATTTAGGAAAAACATTATCTGATAATGAGCGGCTGTAACGATTCTGAATACGTAATTTATCAGAAAATTTCAGCGATGACGGTTATGATCTCTTGAAGGATGGAAAAGAATCTGAAGATAATGATGACGAGATTCTGGCTGTAGCAAGAAATTGGTATCAAATCAACTAATAACTAGTACAAATAAAAAATAACTTGCACTGTACCAATATATTAATTTTCTGCCAAAAAAAACTCGATCATTTTTAGCAGTTTTTCCGAAAACAACTCGTGCTTTAAGGGGTTAAACCAGCCGGTTTCAATGGCTTTCTCAACCCCCAACTACCCTAAAAGTCTTTCACGAAGACACCTTTATCTAGTTGCACAGCAAAAAAGGTTATCAAGTTGCACCTAAAGATGTGCAAATATTCCTCTTAACAGGAATACTCAGTTGGATTTCATGCAAGGGCATTACGGTTTCCAAAAACATTGCGATTTAAAACATTCATTTCTGGTTAGCGATTTATTAAGAGGGTAAAAATTAAATCCTATTTGGTTTCAGCTATTCATTTATGTTTTTTTTAATTTTGAGAAAGATAGATTTAAGTAACTGTTATATTATAGGAAGGTGACTTAAAGGTTTTGTTAAATAAGACAAGGAAGTCTAGGAAAAGCAAAATTTATTCTTTTATTACTCTGCTGACTTGTATAACTGAATTACAACTGATAGTTTCCGTGAAGTAGATAAGCCATATAAAAAAGCAAATTGGCCAAAATAAAGAAATTGATACGTTACTTAAACAAGCACTGAATATTTATTGTAATTATTATTAATGAAATTAAAATCTTACAGATTATGTTCCTGTAACACAAAACTGTACATATAACAATTTTTATGCACAGTACTTACTGCACGATCTTTTGAAACTTTAAATTAATATCAAGGGTCCTTCCAAAATTAAAAGATTAAGAAAAACAGCTGAGGTTGCATACACAGCACAAAAAATACGTAAGCTGAACTAATTAAAATCGTGAAATGATTTGTCATTTTTGCTACAGATAAAATTTACTTTTCAGCTGGAAGAAATACAGGAAAAAAATATTAACGAAGAAAAGTTTTGAATAATTAATTATGTTAGACATATTTTTAATACTAACCTTCACGTAAGCCAGTTTGGGCTCCTCTCGCAATAATCTGACCAATTCATGATAATCACATCGAGCAGCCTTTACAATCCACTCTTTCCTACGGGGATCCAACTTTAAAAAAAAAAAAAAAAAAAAAAGTTAAGCGAATGAATAGTAATATTAGTTTAATAACGCTTCAATATAATTCTCCAAATAATCATCAGCATTGCAATCAGGGGTACATTAAAAGAAGAAAACTAGATGTTCTCTTATATTTTCCCGATAAAGCTCTCTGAAAATTAAATCAACTCAATAAGGTCCTCTCCCTCTAAGGGGGGGGGGGGATTGCTGCGCATAATAATTAATTTTAAGCAAGATTACATAGACAGTTTTAAAATTTGTATATGCCTATTAATTTATCTCTGCTTTTACAGTGAGCAAATGCAGCTCATTTTTTGCAAAATAAGATTTTGAATTTTATCAAGACTTGCTACAAAAATAAGGCGAATTTATGTTTCATCATGCATTATTTCAATCATATTATCAGGAATTTGTATTTACGTTCTATAAAAGTCTATATGTGTTCAAATAATCAAGTCAAAAATCAATCAATCAGTTGCTCTGAACGATCAACGCACAGAATTCAGGATACCTTGATTTTCGATTACTTCGCAATTCAATTTAATCATTCAAAATAGAATATTTCAAGTAGTTATCAAGCTTCTAATAAATACAAATAAATTTAGAAAAAATTATATCCAAGTTATAAATTAGAGCACCGCTTTTATACGGCGGACGCTCTTATTTACGAGCTGAAAAGAGGTGCAAAAAATACTTGTAAAATCGAAAGTTCGTGAACGGCAGTGCCTCTGAAATGACCATAAACTCTTCGGAACCAATCTTTGATAAGTTCATTAAAAAATACCGATCATAATTTGGAGTTCCGTAAAAGCGCTAGTTCAATATATTGCAAAACAATTATTTATCATAATTCTTCATGAAAATTCTAATATATATTTTAATTTATTTCCCACAAAAATTTTAACGTTAACGATCATAGATACGCATTTAATTGGAAAGATTAAACAATACTTACTGTTGAAACAGAAGCAGTATCATCATCATCGCCAGCCTAGAAATAAAAGATGTTTTTACATGTAAATATAAATTGGGATATGTATTGAAATTTTAGAAAAACTGTTAATCAAAACCTTTTAACATTTTGGAGGTAACAGAAAGATTTTAGATTCTTCCTACAAGACTATTTCAAAGGTGTATTGTGACTAGGTGAATTTTGGTAAAACCTCGATTTACAATATCAGTGTGAACATAAAACTTTGGGCAAAAGTGAACAGCGGCGGCAGGCTGGATTCGCTTCATTTCAGAATTCAGTGTTGGGACCTCAGTAAACATCGATGTGACATCTGTGCAACTTTACTTATCTCCATATGGGTTTAAGAGTCGATGCTAACCACAGTACTTCTGATGAATGCAACATACATAGCTATGCATTTCGGAAACACCGAAAAAAAAAGTTGGACCTTTATTCTCTGGAAACAAGTAGCCTAGGGTGATGAGTCCCATCTCTAACTGTTTTGGGTGGGTAGCAAAATTCGTGAATGGAGAAAGCTCCACGAATCCATGGATTGCACATACAGCCGGAAACTGCACAGGCTCATGGTGGCTCATTAAAAGTAGGAACTTATTTAGCTGGCATGGCATTCAATAGGACTTTGGTATGTTTATTAACGTCTGTAACATACGATTGCTACATATGTATCATTTCTGACAAATAGCAGCCTTTCAAGCTCGGCTTTCTTTTTGGGGTTTGGCTTCTTCCAACAGAAATGCATCTCCACACAAGTCTAGAGAAACTAAATTATATTTACTAGAATTCTCATCTGAGATAGCGTTCTGACTATTGTCATCTAAATCATTCGATTTAAATGTTATTAGAAACATCTAAGATTTCATGGAACACCGAAATGCTATAGCTCTTAATGCAGCCGAATTGTGGATCGCTGTGCAAGTTCATGGAAGAAGTTCATTAACTGCAGAACATTTCTGCGAACTCGTGGTGTCCATACCCTGTCATACTTCTGCAGTTCTACGCTCCCGTATGGGACCTACTAAGCATCAAATTTTTCGGACTGACGTTCCCCCCTGAATTGGAGGGGATACGTCCTTGTGGTTTAACATGTAAATAACATCATATTCGAGTTGGAGCATAAGGCGCCAAAGGGAAGCCAAGCTTCAAGAAAAAGAAGCATCAAATTCACGTATTAATTTTTCTCGCACTTCATCGTTTACTATTCAAATACTGAATCATAGTTCATCCTTCAGCATAGTTATTTTTAAGTAAGTTCTAACAGTGCAAAATTACCTTCTATTATTTATATGCATCAGAAACGCCTGGCATCTTAGTGTAAAATATAAAGCTAATCAAAGCATTAGTTCCAACAAATTTTATAAGTGGTGATACGCTTTTAAGATAAAGCTTTAGTGATGCAGGTGATAATTAGATTTTAATGGATTCTCTTGAAATTTCTTAAGGTCAAAACAATCTCGAGTGCATGGAAAAGTATATTATTGACTCACAAATTGGACAAGTTTAAATTGCAAGTATTTTCCAATCTAATTAATATGAACAGATAGTAGAGACTATTTATTAACTTTAAAAGTAGGCAAAATTAATAGCAATCTTTAGGAAACACATATAAAGTTTTACATTAATAACCAAGTTATCTTGCTAGCATGTCTTTATTTTCACTTCTGTTTTCGACAATACCCACCAGACTTCAAATTAATGAAAGTATAAATAAGCAAAAATTCCCCTCGTTTGAGAGAGATCTATTGCTGCCCGTTACTCTGTTACACTTCCCTGCTGCTCTAACTGAATTTATCGGCTTTAGCTTCGGCGAGCTACGGTTTCTTCGCGAATAATTCGGCCCAGAGTCGAAGCTTTAATTGGGCTTGTGTTCTTTTGTATTTCACATTCAATTTGACTTGAACATCTGTCCTGAATTTCCCGTATGCAAAGAAGTTAATTTCTCTTATACTTTTAAGTTTAATCTTTAGGTTTACATGTTCATAAATAATTTTAGTTAAAACTTAGAGTTTACTAAAATTTGAAGGTAAGACAGGAAAATAAGCATTAAAGTAGTTTGGTCTTTTAAAGCAGTGAAAAACCGTACACACATGCAGTATTTCATTAAACATCGTATCCACGAATTCCATATGAGGACCTTTATTTTTGCAACTGTTAGTCGCAGGCACACACTTCGGATTATAAAAATGCTTTAAAGAAGAATGTATTCGTTACTTACGTATTAGTCCAGCCATCATAATAGAAGTCACCATATTTTTAAAATACGTTAAATTCTAGCAATCAGGTACATTATAGTTTATTATATTCTTCTGTAAAAATCTCTAAACTACGCCAATGTGGTTGCACTAGTAAGTAAGTACCAAATATTAATGTTACGACATTTAAAAAAAAAAAAAAAAAAAAGACTTTTGGGGCCCATCCTTAAAAATATTGATTATATTAATCTAATATTGATTCAAAAGAATAAATTTAATTTAAATACAAATTTAATTAATTCTTTGCGCCATTGCTGCAAGGAATGAAATTTAAATTTTAACAAACATGTATATACGTAAAAAAGCAAATTTAAAGTTAAAATAATTAAAAAATTTGGAACTCTAATATCGTTATCAAAGTAATAGAAAACGCGTTTCATACCCAAATAATCAGAATAAAAAATATATATACTGAAATAGAAGATTTAAAGGAAGAAATAATAAAGCTAATTAATGTTCACGTTGATAACCAGGTACCAACAAAATTTATTAATTTATATATTAAAAAGGCAGGCATTAACTTTACTTTATAATTTTTTGGCTATTTATGGTATGATAACATTACCTTAAACCTTAGCTGGAGGGTAATGGAGGATATAGAAGAGTAAAGGAATTATCTTGTAAATTTTTATTGTAAATAAATTTGTAAATTTGTATATTTAATCAATACCGGATTCTTTCCTTTTACTAATAAAGAGTTGGCCCTTTTACTAATAAAGGGCCAACTCTTTTCAAAAGTCTCAATTATAGCCCAAATTGAGTGAAGATTTTACTCTTCTAATTTTCCATACTTTAACCAGTATTTAGTAAAGTTTTGATATACCAGTTGGAATCAAGTTTATTAAAACTTTCAATATTTTTTAAGGATTTTTTGGGAAATTTCTGAGAAATATCTAGAAAATTTCTGGGAATTTTCTTTTTTAACTTTTCTTTCTTTAAATTTAATAAATAAAAAATTTCTTAAGGAACTCACTTCAAAATTTAAATTTTACTTAAAAAAAACTTGGGGAATTTTTTTAAGAAATTTTAAAGACATTTTTAAATTTTTAAAATTTTAAATTTTACTTTAATTTTTTTTAATTTAAATTTTTTTTAATTTTAAAACATATCAGTTTTACTTAATTACTTTTTAATTATTACTTTTTATTTGCAATTTTCACAAAAAAATAATTTTTTTGCATTATTTACACAATTTTGCAACAGAACACACATTTAACATTACAAACAAGTTTACATTTATTAATTCACAATCACCACTTTACTCTACTTTACTTCAATTAGAGTACTCTTTTTAAGATATTTGAAGAGCAAACTTACATCTCTTGATTGGCTCAGCTACTAAACTCCCTACCATAAAGAGTTGGTCAGTTAAAATTAAAACTTAAATTACATTCATTTAGTATGTCTTTAATTTTTTCTAGATTTATATTATTTAAATATTTTAATATTAAAGTTTACAAAATTTTATTAAAACAAAAGTAGCAGCTTGGCACTCAACTTTACTTTACTTACATTAGCGCCATCTATATAATTTGCAGTACACACTTACATCACTTAGGAAATACTTTTGCAGACCCCGACGCTAATATGGTAAGTAAGTTAGAATTAAAACTTACTATTTACTTACTTTTAAGTATTTTTTAAGTATTTTTTTTGTAGTATTTAAGTATTTTCTAGATATGTAATTATATTTTTAAATATGTATTTGTTTTTTATAAATTATGAATTAGTTCTTTATAGTTTCTTATTAGTTTATATAAATTATATCTAGTTCCTTTTTTAGTTTTTTTTAGTTTCTTTTTAATTGATATGCATATTCGTGTCGGGGAGGTTTCTGTAGACAAGGGTTTCTAAAATGCATTGGTTTCTAAATTAATTTTTCTGGAAAATTTAATTTTTTTTAAAAAATTATTTAATTTAATACTGACTTTACATTGCTTATTTCTCAAAATACTTCATTATTGTATTTTCCTTTTGACCTTTAATTTTAATTGCTAATTTTCTCAAGGTACCACTTTATTGGTATTTCTTTTTGGACATTCTTCACTATGTATTTACTTTTTGGTTTTTGACTTTTTACACTTGCTTGCATGAATGACGAAACACGAATTGAATGATTGAAGAGTTAGGTTTGGAGGCAACTTCCCCTTGATAAGTCTGTCTCCTGCCTGCTCAACAGTCATTCACTTATGCATTTTAAAAAAAAAAAAAAATTAGATTAATTTTATTTGCTAAATTGGTGAATTTATTTTCATGGTTTGGTTTTTGCACTTGATTTACTTATGCTATCTGAATTTAAATGATATTGTAGATTAGTTCGAAAATTTAATCTTTTATATGTTTGCACATTTTTTAATTATTTTAACTTTAAATTTGCTTTTTTACGTATATACATGTTTGTTAAAATCTAATATTGATTATATTCATTCTAAGAAATAAAACATAAAAAGTTTGACTCGCATACGAGAAAGATGAAAAATTTGTACGGGAACGCACCTTATCATCACGATGGTCTCGCCGTCTTCCAGGAACAGTTGGTTGTTTCTGCGATGGATCTGATTCTGATGCCATTTTGTTGAGAAAGTGTGCCTTTTCCTTTACATTACCAGGGCTCACAACTTCCTGGATTTCCTCCTTTCTAGGACTAGACTAAAAAAAGAAATCATGAATTCAAATCCATGGAAATACATCTTGGAGGCATAAAGCGGCTTTAACAGAAATCATCTCTCATTATTAACTAAAAGAAATCGAGCTTAACGTGTATGGCGGCTACATGAATAAATTACGCATTGCTTAAGCTAGGTTCGCTAATGGTACAAAAATGCGTTTCACAGAAAGCATGCCAGTTAGAAATTTCATTAAAACAAATTCCAGTATTAGATTTACCTCGATTTTAAAGTAGACTGATAAGGAGTAATGCATAACGTTACTTTCTTAATATTTAAAAAATACTAATCTAAGATTTCATTTATTTATTTATTTTTAGTCCAAAGGGATTTGAATCCCGAAGGACTATTAGTTTCGTTTTGGCATTTTGCGTCGGACTCATAAATGTCGGTTCACTTTTCAAACTGTTGCCACAAAATGTTAGAGTCCTGCATTATATTTGAAGAAATTAAATAATGAAAAATCTGCATAAATGTATGTATATTTCTCGTATTGTGATAAAACAACGGTACATAGAGTCATCGAATTTTGAATAACGTAATCCTCCAACGAATATGAGCATGTGGAAGACCAAATTTGAAATTTGAAATTTGTTTTATGATCGATTCCCTATTTTTTAAAACTTTGACGAATTTTTGATTAACAAACTCAAGGATTTCAAAGCGAGCAATGGCAACGTTGTGCAGAAAAAACATTTTTATCTCCAGCGCGTGAGCCTGTATCGGAAATTCTAAAGATATGCTCGTTTTAAAACTATTTTGCGATATTGCTGTTGCACTGGATCTTATGGTTTAAGTTCGAGGAACATGATATTTAATAAAGAAAGGTAACACACAAAATGTTAAAAAACGCCCCTTTGGACGTAATTTAAAATCTGAAACATTTCAGTTTTTTTTTTTTTTTTTTTTTTTTTTTTTTTTTTGTAACAGAGCTTGATATTCGCTGAGTCTTACCTCAGTGTGGTATTAGCGAGAGACGAGATTTCAATGAGACTTTTTACCATTTATTGCATTTCAATTTCTTTGTTCCACAACTCTTCGAAAACATCAGATAAATAAAAATAAAAACCTGAAAGGTTTCACATTTTAAATGACGTCCAAAGGGGCGTTTTTTTAACATTTTTGTGTGTTACTTTTATTTACTAAATATCTTGTTCTTCGCACTTAAACCATAAAATTCAGTTTCAAGAGCAATGTGGCAAAATAATTTTAAATTAAGCATATCTTTAGAATTTCCGATACAGAGACTCACGCGCTGGAGATAAAAATGTTTTTTTTTTTTTTTTTTTTTCCTGTACAACGTTGCCATTGATTGCGAAATCCTTGAGTTTGTTAATGAAAAATTCGGTAAGGTTTTACAAAATATGAAATCGATAATAAAACAAATTCCAAATTTTAAATTTGGGCTTCCATTATCCATATTCGCAGCTGAATTACGTCATTCAAAATTTGATGGCTCTAGGTACCGTTGTTTTATCACAACAGATTCTTCATTATTTAATTTCTTCAAATTTATTAAAGGGCGATAATATTTGGTGGCAACAGTTTGAAAAGTAAAACGGACATTCAGAGTGATTCGACGCAAAATCGCAAAACGAAAACAATAGTCCCTCAGGGGCAAAGCCCTCTTGAACTAATAATTCTATATTTGACAAATAATTTTATAAATTAATTTTAATTTAAACAATTTTTCCAAATATATTTAATGAATAACTGATAATAAACAACGATTAAAGGAAAGAAATCGAGAGCTTCAAAATCTACAGAATTGGACACTAGTTATTTAAATATTCCATTATATCTGAATTTGTGAACTAACAGCAAGACTAAATTACGGCGTCAAGTAAAATAAGTATTAGAAATTATGCAAACAAACAGCAAGAACAATTGCAATAAAAAATATTACCTTTGAAAAATTAATCCTAGATCCGAAATTAAATAGCTTTTTTAATAGTTTCGAAAGTAACGCCATCAAATGGTATGTAAATACAATCCATTATTACGCAACAAATAAAAATAAAAAAAAGCAAATTACTGATGGGAAAAGAGTTGCTATCTTAAAAATATAACATCTTTAATATATTACTAGATGCAGCCTGAATTTAGCTACCATACCACGTCACAAGAAGATAAAAAAAATGCAAGAATGAATGTACAGAAAACATACAAACCACTAATAGAATATTTTAAACTCGCAGCATTACTTAAAACAAACTTACAATTAAATTATGCTACATTTGTACCAGGTGTCTGAGAGAAAGAGTTCCACAGAAAACCAAATAGGTGATAAGGGTCATTAAAAGTCCCCACGCGCTGAAACACTGTTCTCTAGATGAAAGTTCGAAAGGAACAGTAATTTTTCCTCGTTATGACAAAGCACGAAACCCAGAAAAATAGCGCAGGTGCGTACACACAAAACAGTGCAGTCTAAGCAAATCCGCCACGACTTTTAAAAACAAAGAGAATTTTCCTATTTCTCAGCTGGAAATCACCATATGTACTTTCAGTTTATTCTCTCTAATGCTTCGCTGTAGTACGTCAGAAGATTTTGATTCATACTTGGAATGCAATAATAATAGTAATGAAATTTCTTACCAAAATGTCCATAGCTTTTTTAAATTGAAATCGATTAAAATTTTTTTAATGTAATAAAAATAATTCGTGATCTAACATTGTCAATTTTAGTTAATATTTTAAATACTTTCCGTACGATTTCCTATTTATATCACTAAAAAAATAGTCATTTCATTTTAGCATAAATTTCATATAAGCGAACGTTTTGTAGCATGGAAACTAAATTTATGTAATTTTAATTAATTATTTTTTTAATCTGAAGAACTGATATGAATTGGAACTTCCCAATTTAACTCTAGCGGTTCTAGAAAATTACGATCTTCTGTGGTGTAGTCACTTAAAAAAAAAAAAAAAAAAAAAAAAAAAAAATCTAAATCTTTCTACCAAACTTTTCCGAAATCTTCATCTTTCGAAGTTGCTATTCTACAAATTAATTATTTTAATCAAATCCAAAAGTTTTAAAGGCAGATATAGACTGAGTAATCCATAAGCAATTATCTGGCTCACAAAAATTTCAAGCAATCCGAATCATTATTAGGAAATTACTTATTCCACAATTTCATTGCTTTTTATCAGTTTATAATACTTAATCTAGAGTTCTGTGTGAAGATCATTTTTCCTAGGTGCTGCCAAAAGATATTTTGTATATTTTGATAATCAACGAATTTTATATATATGTATATATATATATATATATATAGTCGACTCCTCGCAATTAACCGGAACAAAACCGGGGACGACGCTCGCGGTTCACTCAAAATCACGATTAATTCGAGGTCGGCTATTAAAAAAAAAAAAAAAAGAAAAGAAAGAAAAGAAAAGAAAACAGGAAAGAGCAATAACCCAGATTATAATTACAGAAAAACATTACTAATGATTTACTTGCACTTTCAAATAGTTAAATAAGCTCATGTAGTTTAAATTAAATAGGTACTGAAACAAAAAAGAGACAGAGAGTGCATTATAAATATGGAAAGAGTAAACATCACTAGGCATGAAGAAACTATGTAATTGGTACTGAAAAAGTATATCACATTCTGTTATTTTAAAATAGACACTTCAAGGTCGTAGAGATTCTCCCTCATCTACAATCGTAACGCCTGTTACAATTCATTGAACAAAGGAAATTAATTTGGTTTGGTTTATTTGATTACGGCAAAGCACTCGAGAGTTGTCTGCCTAAGAGAAGGGACGCCTTCGTGGAGGCCTTTCTAAGGGAAACTGGCTCGTATACACGTTACCCATAGGGAAAACCACGAAAACGCCCATGCAGCCAGCCCTTTTGCCAGGTTTTTAAACCCAAATCGAATTACCAGTGTTCAGCCACTTGACCGCCGGTAGGCCTCAAAGGGAATTATGAGATTTTAGCAAGTTAAAGAGTATTCGACCCTTTTTTTCTGCAGCTGTCGCTGCCATATTATGAATCATGATTTGGGGACAAAAAAGGCCTTCAAATGCCTATTCCACAGCAAGAGAAAATGAATAATATCATTTAATTTAAATGGTGGTTAGAATTATTTTTGCAAGGATGGGGCAGAGTTCATATGGTAGATATAAATACAATAAACAACATTACAAAAGATCGTAGTTATAGAAAAGTCTGATGTAGGGGGCCGCATGACTTATTAAATTACACACATATTTTGCTGCACTTCATTTAAATTTATTTCCTTGAGTAACTCTAACTTAATTAACCGAACCCTCAAGAAAAGTTGAAAACGCAGTATGTCTTTTGAGTTACTTAGTGTTAAACTTTTCTCGCAAATCATTATTTGACAATTTTAATCATTGCAAAATTTTCATCATTACACTATGAGATAGACCGAAAAATAGTCTTCCAAGTGAATGCTTTTTGGAATCCCTTACATAAAATACCGAATTTTCGCTTCTTTAAAAAAAACGGAACTATTTTTGCAATTGAATAACTGTAATTGCTTTTAGATGCTTTGCCTGCCTTCCAGTAATTTTGAGAACCAGAAAGTACTAGAAATATCTCGGCAGCCGATTGAAAATTACATAAGTCGTCTTTTAGATGCGCTTTTCTTGCGTTGTGTTTAGCGTTCTTAGGTAGTTTGAGGATTTTGAAGATCTATAGATCTTATCTGATAGCCGAAGCTCACTGCAACATCTTAGTAATTGGATTTACGTAGGCGATAAGACTAGTATCTCTGTCCTATAAAAACTATACCTAATTTCTCAGCATCATGACATTTGTTTTCAATGGATCCTTATGGCAAAGAAATGAGGGACAAACTAGCAAAGGAGGACTGTGGTCTTTTAACTCCCTCTTCTTCCACCCTTACCTATCTGGAATTATATTCTCTGAAAACATCACAAGTCATGGTGGAATGGTTGGTGCCCTCCATTCATCTTTTGTACCTGGATAGCAAGCCTGGGTTGTACTCTAACTCTTGAGTGAGACAGAAGCTCCCGAACTGCATTCTCACGTATTGCCAGCAGTCATATTATGAGCCTCAAGGACTTTATGTCTTTCAAGGACGACATGAAAATATCTGCCACATTCTCCAAGTGCTGAGAACATCAGGCGTCTGCCGAGCACATATTACGCTGCTTGGACCTCTCTAGGGAGGATATTTACTCGAATCCCCTCCTTGAGCTCGACTTTCTTAGTCATCGGTTTTTGGACCTTGTCTGACTTCGTTAGAAATCGGAGAAAAAGCAACAATAACAACAGTAGTTTGAGGAGTTAACTACTGACTGTACTATGTGATACTGTGAACACCTGTACGAGTATTTCTGTGGAATGTTCTTTTGATAAAATTAATTTTTTCAATCTACCATCGAAGCTGCGTGCATTCAATCTATTAACGAACCCGTACGCATGCAATAGTAATTTTATGCCAAATTAGAAAGTTTTTTTTTTTTTTTTTTTTTTTTTTTTTTTTTTTTTTTGGAAAAGCTGTAATTTTTCTCTTCATTACTTCTCTGCATCAAAAATTGCAAATTTTGAAATAAAATATCCAGGTTAGTTTTTGTCATACGGGAGTTAAACAATGTAAAGTATAAAACGTTCCCAAATAATACGTATAGGAACAGGAAGATCGTATTAAAAGTTGGATTTCGTTATTAGATGAATTTTTTTTTAGTTTAACATTGTCAAAACATGAAATATTTTTGGTCATTTAAAACAATTCTGTAATTGAAAGCATAAGACTACGATCAACAATTTCGAAAACAAAGTTCAAGAACTTTTATGCCGGGTAAGAGGATGGATGTGCGTATATACATATATATATATATATCGTATATATAATGCTGTATGATTTTAAATTAACTTAGTGCGAAATCGAGTTATTCTATTAGTTGCGCAATTGCTGTAGTAGAATAACTCGTAAGTAAGTTAATAATAATTTATTTATTTAAGAAATATTGATTATATTATCTCCTAAGATTAATTTTAGTAGAATTATCTTAAAAGCGTGAATCCATAGTTAGTAAGTTCAATTTCGAAAATTGTTTTAAAGTAACTTGAATGTAAATTGTTAAAAATGTTTAACGGGGACTTGAATAAAATCATGAATAACAAAATTTCAATTGTAAAAATTAAAATAAATAAATTAAAAGCAAGTAATTAAATTAAAAGCAAGTAATCATTGCCATTAATCGGAAATTATTTGACTTTTCAAGGGGAACAAACCATATATATCAGCTTTAGTAAAAGTATTAGGCAATTTATTATTAATAATTAATTACCTTGTTTAATTACATATATATAGAGAGAGAGAGAGTAAGAAATTTAGGATCAATTTTTCACGAAGACCAAAAATTGAAATTCATAAGTAATAAATTTCAAATAATTCTATAAATGCAATAAAGAATTTAAAAAATGTGTAAAACCAAAACCCTTCAAACAAGCAACACCCTAATTTTAAAAAAATCAATGAAATTCAAAGAAAAAGAACACAATAGGAGAAGAATTCAATCAACCTCAATGCCAGCTTGTCAGGAGGAGGAACACTGAAATCAACTGAAATCTTTTTCTTCCGCAAAAATCCTTGCTTTTCTGTATCCAGAATTAGCCGATGAACCATTCCAATGTATTTTATTTATAATAGTTAACCCGAAAATTCTGGCCACTTCCCAAAGCAAGGAAAAAACAAAGTAAATTCAAATTAAAATCTTCAATAAAGAGAATTCTTTTCAAAGAATTGAAAACGTAAGTGAAATTATAAAACCTTAGTGTTCATGTGAGATTTTATTCAAGTCATTTCACTACGGTTTTTATAATTTCACTTACGTTTTAAATTCTTTAGATTATGTGCTCTTAAAGATAAAATTTTGATTTGAATTTTTCACTAAAGTATTTTATTATTTATAATTCACTAAAGTATTTTCATTTCTTCGAATAGAATTCTCTTTATTCAAGATTTTAATTTGTATTTACTTTGTTTTTTCCTTGCTTTGGAAACGAGCCAGAATTTTTGGGTGAACTATTATAAATAAAATACATTGAAATGGTTCATCAGATAATACTGGATACAGAAAAGCAAGGATTTTTCTGGAGGAGAGGATCATCAAATTCGATCACATCATCATCAGCCTGCTAACAATAAAGGATTAAATCTATTTTTAAAAGCTCCATTATTGTTAGCAACTGCAACATAATTTTAAAAAATCGTCCTATTTTTTTAATCAGCCAAAATTCGGCATTTTATGTTACAGATTCCAGAAAGCATTTATTTGGAAGACTATTTCTCGGTCTATCTCATGATGTAAAGATCAAAATTTTGCAATGCTTAAAACTATTAAACAAGGATTTGTAAGAAAAGTTTTTAACCATTAAATAAATAAAATGAAATACTGCAATTATCATCCCAAATACGCTGTGAGAAAACGTTCAAAAAACTCAGATATATAGAAAACAATCAAAAACTAATTTCAAGATCTGACTCAACGAATCAATAAAAAATTATAGAAACTATCTTAAATAAAAGAGCGTAGTACAAAGTTCATATTTATGTGTTTTATGTACTTAAGAAATATTTTCTTATGTCCACCAAACACAAAAATACAGACCTATAAAAATTTTTAAAAACAATTTGAAATATCAGATAAATTTACTTTTGCCAAAATCTCATACCTCAACTAAGTAACAGCTGATGTAAGAAAACTGATTAGCGTCTTACGAAGGATGGACGCGTCCACAAACGGCTGGTCAATGGACCCAGACTTTCCCACATAGAGGAAGCTGGAACGGATAGGAACTTACCGACATCCGCCGGAAACAGACAAATCAACATTTAGGACCGTCTTTAAAGAATTACACTTTCATTTGAATTCCGTTTAGGAACTAACTATATGGATTTATTTTATGATTCTTCACTCACAAATAATTTTCGTGTTCAATAACTAGGTCATTCTATGAACAGTTATTAATAAATAAATAGATTTAAATAAAATTCAGTATACGAAATTTACACATAACTAAAAAGGCATGACACATAACTAGCGCACGCGTGATTTAATTTTAAAAAAACTGATGCGGACACCATATGACTTCCTTGTACGGCGTATTAAATTATAAACATTTTTTGCAGCATTTTATTTAAACTTATTCCCTCGAATTTAATTGGAGATATATTTATCATTCAATTAATTCAGTTCTGACTTCGCGGCAACGCAAAAATACATAAAAACTCAAAATACCTTAATTAAAATTTGAAAAATATGGAAAAACATACACCAAATACAGTTAAAACAAAAAAAAAAATTCAACTAAAATTAGAGTTTCTACGCAAAAGTAAGTAATACGGCCAACGTGCAAGAAAGCAGAGTTTTCGGTGCACAAAACTGAAAATTTACTTTTGGTCGAATTTGGGGAAAAGACACTGAAAGGTGCAGAAACTGAATGAATTCGCTATTCTGCACAGTTTCAAATGTAAACAAATATGGCTCTCCGTTAGGTTCAGCCGCATTTAAGCAACATTTAAATTGTTGATAATTCAACAGCTATTGCATGCAGATTAACTATAGGCATAAAAACCTCAACCGGAAAATAAGAACAACATAATTCAATCATTTTAAAGCAAAAAATGTACACTAACACTTAAGAATTTAAAAAAACAAAAAAACATTAAGCTCACCGAGCCGAGTAACAGAACAGATATATATACAGTTTTGGTGCGGTCGACTTTATCCAAAAAGGGGGGTGCACAACTACATGTTATACCAGTCCTATTTACAAAATTTCAACGTTCTGAAGCTACTTGTTTTTAAGTTATGCGAGATACATACATACCTACGTAAGTCACTAAAATAATCTCTTCCTAATCCATTTTCAATCCGTTTTGGGAAAAAGAGTCCTCTATTCTGTCCTCAAGTACAGATGTCGCTCAAAAGCACCGTTAAATTGCATTCGATAGCGGTCGAAATATGATACCAGAAATTTTTCGCGTTTGCAATACTTCCTTTACTTCGTACAAGAAAGTAAAAATTATCAGTAATTTACAAGCAAGCACTATTTTACCTGTTTACACTATTTTTAATCTACAGCCTTGTCTATTAAAACTTGGGAATTCACAGACATATATTTTTAACATCAAACAATGCATTTAACAAAGGAGGTTCAATTTTATGCGTAAAGTATACATACGGTTAAGTTAGATTATGTTATTTGAATATGCTAAAATATACGAAGGCAAAGCACATGAGGACTGCCTAAAAATATGACTTCCAATTTAAAGAATATATTTAAAGCAGGATGTAACTCACATTAATTTCTCTTCCTTCATTTAATTGCCGTATACTCTCTTCATATTTAGCACCTCTGTTTTCTTTCCCTCTCATGGAATGCTTGCGTCTAGGTGGCGGTTGAGGCACATGTCCAGGAGGCAGATCAGAGCTCCATAAAACAGGTGGCGTTGTCTGTGTAGGACCCATGCTTAAAATGGAAGGACTAGAGTGGCTGTGCAGGATACCAACATGAGACACTCCCTGACTTTGAGAAGAATTAACACTTTCATTGCTTAACTTGAACTTCTTCGCCTCGGTCATGGAATCTTCAGGCACTTTGCTTAAACTTTCAGGGGTAAAAGATTCGACTCCATTTTTTTCGATGCGAGATCTTTTCTTTAAAACTACATATTTAACTCCCTGAAAAAAGATCACAGTAAAAATCCAGATTATATATTTAAAAAAAAATTGAAAATACAACAACAAAAATATACAGATGGTTGGTTTAATTTAATAAGCTAAAACACTTTACAACTACCTAATTAAGGAGAGATTTAGTTTGTTTGCTGGATTAGATAAACAAGGCAAGACATTCGAGGGGTTCCTAATTAAGGGAAAGGCGCCTTTATGGCGGAATTCTCACGACAAATCCGGCTTGTATTCACGTTATACATATAGACAATCACGAAAACACCCATACAATCGCATCGTTCGCCGCGATTAAAATCTTGGATTCGCCAGGATCTAAATTATCAAATTTCAGTGAACTTATTTATTCGGCCAATGTAAATCACTTAGAAAGGAATATCTATCAAGTAAAAGAGATACTTCTTGCTATCATAAGTGCCGTACAGATGGGTTGTTGTCTTGTCCATATTACTTGGAACAATGGTTGCCAGAGCATAATTCAAAGAGAGGTTGGACTTCTATTGTACGGATCGGTTATCTGATCAAATTCTCAAATACGAGAGCTTCCAGTTAGAATACAATCATTCTGAATGAGCATATACTTAATTAAAAATACAATAACATTGTAATTTCTCTACTCATATAGAGGAATTCAAGTTCATGCACAACATTCGGCAAAACATATAAGTAGCATGAGACTGTCAATAAAACGTTTAAGTTGCATGAGATCATTCAGAGCATATTTAAACAGAATTTTCCCATAAAATGTGTGTCAAAAAATGCAGTTATGCATATGCTTTATGAAATCATTATACTTTACAGTATCACAGTAAATTACGTAGGTCAGTCAGAAAGTTAGTTGCACCTCTTTGTAAAAACTTTCTTTTAAAAGCTATTTTGATGAAACTCTCTCGCGACACGTCAGACATTTAGTTGTATCGTGTGGCATCGCGGCTTTTACGAGGCAATTTTAGTTTATCTGATAATCAGTCGTAAGTATGCCTGGACAACTGCAAGTGGCGTCCAAATTGGAAATGCGTGCAGTGATTCGCTTTTTGTAGGCGAAAACGTGTAACGGCTGTGAAATTTATCGGCAGTTGCATGAAGTGTATGGTGAAAATGCAATGTAACGTCAAGCTATTGCGAAGTAGTGCGACATGTTTGAGAACGGACGTATAGATATTGACGACACTGAGCGCGATGGAAGACCATCAACTGTCACAAATTCTAAAATGTCTGCTGGCGTGAATGAATGCATTCTTGCAAACAGACGCTAGCCGAAATCTCTAATGAATTGGATATTTCTCATGGAAGTGTGCATAAAATTACTGCCGATCAGCTTCAATTTCGTAAAGTTTGTGCTCGATGGGTGCCTCGTCTACTGACGGAGGAACATAACGGGAAGAGTTTTGAAATTTCTGCAATGTTACCAAAACGAAGGAAATCAGTTTTGGGACAAAATTGTGACCGGAGATGAGTCTTGGATTCACCACTTCTCACCTGAAACAAAACGCAGCTCCCTCAAACGGAAACATTCCACTTCCCAGACACAAAAAAAAGTGTTGAACTATTCCATCTGCGGGAAACGTGATGTTGAAGCTGCGTTCGGCAGAAAAGGTTTGCTGCATACAGAGTTCATGCCGAAGGGTGCCACAATGAATACATCTTCTTATTGTGAAACACTAAAACGATTACGGCAATCATTTAAAAATCGACACCTCGGTAAACTGTCTAAAGACCGCATGTGACAATGCAAGACCGCATGCAGCAAAACAAATGTGCGACCTTCTGAAAAAGTTTAGGTAGGAAGTCTACAATCACCCCTCCTTATAGCCCCCACCTTGCACGGTGATTTGTTTTTGGTCCCATAATAGCAGAACTTTCAAAGCGATGACATCACTAGGATGACGAGGTGAAAACGGCAACCCAAGAATGGTTATCGGGCACTGGACGGGATTTCCTTGCAGAAGGCATCGACAAACTTGTACCACGCCTCGACAAATACTTAAATAACGGAGGTAATTACATTGAAAAGTAGATTTTGAATGGATATTTAAGATACAAATATATTTATTGTAAAATTTCTCTCCTGTTTTGCTTTCTAAAGCAGTGCAACTAACGTTTTGAGTGACCATCGTAAACACTCAGCACTGAAAACTCAATTTGCGTTATACTTCATACCAGGTAAAAGTTCTAAATGTTTCAGGTATTATTTAGAAAACCACAAAACAACACTAGTAGATATACGAAAGTCGTATATGTCATTTACAAATTTTAACTACGCTTAAATTTCTTCGATAAAAAAAATAGTAACATTTAAAACGGCTTCCATAGAAACTAAGGAGTTCTTACGGAGTTAGTTACGCATGTATTCAAATCGGATCACATTATCAGAATCTTCTAACGAATAATTTGCTTAAATGTAAAAAATAGTTCATCTAACTTACGGCGACTAACCAAAAAAAAAAATTCTTCCCCTCCCGAAATACGCATCAGCATTGTAAATGCAGTGGTCAGCACCACGATAAATTCTCAGTTTTATGGATCAATTGTGCAAGAAGATTCAGAGGGTTCGTCTGGAACGTTCGAAAGAGATAAATTTCATCTTGTTGCACAAATTAATGGGCCCGCTTACACGGCTGGAGTTGCGGTGGGCCTGGAGTTTATAGCGAAAAAAAAAAAAAAAAAAAAAAAATGTACGCCACTCTCTCTATACTCAACCAATTTAGCGACGAGTGACTTTTTTCTTATTTCGGAAAACCAACTTTACATGAAGAGTCATTGCTATGATGACGTATCCGGCATTTAGGCTACAGTGACACGCAAGTTGAATAATGTCTCAAACAAGGACTTTTATGATAGTTTCATATGACTGAATGAATATTTTCTGCTTTGTACTCAAGTGCGAGGGAGCTATGTAGAATACACATTAAAACCTTATAGCGTCTCATATTCTTAGCAAGCATAAATTAACGAACTGTTAGTAGACTGTGTAGGACTTAAGTACGACAAAGTCCAGAGAAGGTGTAAAGAACTCTTTGTTAACTCAGTATCTTTCACAAACGGCACCGACTCATGCTTACAAAAGCCAACACTTCTGGCTTGACTCAGAAAGGAAACAAGTAACTTAAAACAGAATAGAATTAAATTAGCCTAACAGCCTTTCACAGGTTACTTAGCGCGCAGGCAGGCTCTGACTCGTAAACGTCGGCGTAAACAAACTTAATGGCTAGAAGCGCTGAATGCCACAGAAATCTAATCGGTAGTAAATCAAACCTGGCCTTCAGGCGGCAGAACATGCTCTCCTCTCTCTCTGTCTGAATTCGCCTTCCAAAACCTTAAGTACTTACTCTTTCTACCTCATTTGAATACACGGGGGCTAACTCATTAACATTCTGGTAATAAAGCGTGGGTTGAAGAACGAGAGTAATAGGGAAGATTGCTTCAAAAATAAAATTAACTGTTATAAATTAAATGAATCCCCACAACCTTTATCTTAATGTCCCAATCACGCTATGTTTCGGCTACGCGGGACTTGACGTCGAAAGGGACAATTCTCAGAACCAGCACAATTCCAGGAAACCCACGTAGCTAAGTTACCATTTTCACTTACTACAAAGACTTGAACGCCAAACAGTAATCGATTATAGCTCAAATTGGGATCACGTGAACCTACAGAAGCAGAACTTTCGTCTGATTGGTTGTCTCTACGCGAGACAGAGGTTCAGTCGAGACATTTTCGGTGAGGATTGAAAAAATCCCGCGTAGCTGCAACATCGTTTCCGTAGCTAGGCGGGACTTCGCTTCGAGTGGGGCACTTTTTTTTTTCTTGGGAATCCTCCCTTTTAAAATAGTGCTACCAAAATCTCGTTTCTCAGAAAAGTCCCGTCTAGCAGGGACTGTAGCCAATGTGAGAACCTCTTAAGTTTTCATTAATCGAGTTTCAGAACTTTTTAGACAGATGTTGTATAAATATGGATTGAATAAGATTCCTCTTCCATTTACTTGAGAAGCAATATATTTCAATAGCAATCACATGAGAGTGAATTAATGTCTATCTTAAACATGAACAACAGTAAAACATATTTGAGCTCATCAGATAAAAAAATTTTAATTTAGTTACGCTACGCAGAGATAGGGGATTGGAAGCTCTTTCAAAATTCATTCTCTCTATGAAACTTTGACTAAACGTAGTCCTCTAAATTAAAAAAAAAAAAAAAAAAAAAAAAAAAAAAAAAAAAAAAAAAAAGGCCAACGCAAGGGACTGTATGTATTAATTTTGTACCTTGTTAGAGGATAATAATCAAATTAGTATGCCTCAGCAGCTATTCGAAATAGAAAATTTTAGACACCAGAAAAATAACCACGAAGACGACTTCTTGAGAAATAATGTTAAGTAATTGCTTTGAAATAAATTTTAAAACGCACGTTAACAAATACTTAAAGCAAAGTAGATGATAAAAAGCTAATAAGACACCTTAGCAGTGTCGTGTCCTACTTCTATGCTGACTTATTTCAGCAATGAGAATATGATCTAATCACAGCTTTTTATAAACGAAGATGCAGTTTATTTACATTTCACAAAGATGGAACAAATAAAACACGGAAATGACTACATACAGCAATTTCCTCTGATTACAATACTTACATCCTGTACAAAAATAATACTAAGTAACATTTAGGGGATAATACAATAGCCGTTAAATTACGATTAGAAATAGATAGTCAGGCCCTGAAAATATGAAAACTTGCTGCTGAACCTTTTCATGATTTGCCTATATACATGATTCATTAATAAAATACGATTTTAGCATGACCAAAGCCAACTCCCTCTTTCTTTCCGTCGATCGCTCTCAGCCTATTCAATCTTCTACATATCCTCTCATTCGACACCCTACAATTCTATGCCATATGTCAAAAACGCAACCTCGTAGAATAGCTACACGAAACTGGTAAAATTATCAGCAACAGGTCTAGGCGTATATTCCAGTTTCATACAAAAAGAAGTTAAT